CACAATTTTTGAACCACATTTTTCGATAGGACACCACGGAAATATTCATGTTGTATGCACTGCAACGTAAGCTTTCGAAAGTTTGACACAACCTGGACGGCGGCTATGGTGCCGCATCGCCTGACGTCACTACAAGCCTACGCCAATTGTTCGGATGGCTATCGCGCAGGCTGAAAGACCCGACTCAAGTTCGAAGCAGTCTCGGCTGCTGACGGAGTTTAGGCCCAGCAATGCGGTGACCTCTGTGAAGGTCAAATAAAAAAATGATACTACGTTCTGAAGGGGAAAAGCGCAAGGTTTCAAGACGTGTATTCAAAATAGTCAACCAAAAAACTGCGCCCTTCACCAGCAAAGCTACCACATTTGACTGCGAATCAGGTGACTGAGATGTGCAATGTATCGACTTCTAGAAAAGCTATCTAGATATAGTTGGGCTGAACGTTCATGTATCCTTAGACTCGCTTCGAGAAGATGCTGCCATGTGTGCATAAATCCGAGGTTGGAACGTACTATGTGTCGTGAATATGCAACATTCAGCTCGAAAAAAGTGCCAAAATTGTGCTGCGTTACAATATTGTGCTTTTTTGTTCCACGTATGCGTTGACGCAGTTGACGTGGCCTGCTGTTGAATATGCCTTTCCTATAATTGGGGTTTTGCCTGTGGGTTGCTTACGCCCTAAAGAAACGAGATATCTGCTGGCACGGTCTGTCAGTCCAGAAAGTTTTTTGACGCACACCTGCTACCATATTCACTCTCGTACCGTGCTGAGCTGTTACCCTTCGCGAAGGCGAACACTATCTAGCGCCCCTTCACGACCAATCTGTGGTGCACCGCTCGGCGAAGACGCAGTCCTTTCATGACCCACCTGTAACATACTGGTTTCCCCAGAGACTGCTGTGCTGCAGGAACTCCTGGTCTCGCAGACTCGGCGCCGCCTGCTTGTAGTCGTAGTCCACCATGCCGTAACCGCCGGGGACGCCCGGGGGGCCGGGCATGTCGTCATACTGGAGGCCCGGCTGGCGAAGCCTGGGTCACAGGGTCGTCAAAGGTCAGCTGGTCAGCACCCATGAGTCTCTCAAAAGGCCGACAGCCATTAGCGAGGCCGGACTGAAGTTAAAGCGAGCCACCGTCGGTTACGTGGTTGTGAGAACCAGGCTAAGGCCAGCGCGCACTCACACTCGCTCCATGACATCCATGTAGTCGGAGGCCGGGTAGTCCTTCGGCTCGTACCGCTGCAGCACATTCTGCAGGAAGACGTCCGTCAGACTGTACGGGTTCTGAAACACGACAGGTGTTCGTCAGACCGGCCTCGCCCCGGCGCGCGGACGGGAGCGCGCGCGTCGCGCGCGGGCTGGAGCATAGACGGGTGATGGGATGGGCTACGTCGCGCTACAGGCGGTTTGGAGCACCGACGGGTGATGAGATGGGCTGCGTCGCACCGCAGGCGGGCTGAAGAACGGCCGGATGATGGGATGAATTTAGAAACATGAACGGACATGTGTTGGACCGCGCAGGTTCCAAGGCAATGCATACTGTATGGTGAGGGTGCCCACACACGTGTGGATGTACACCGGCACGCGTTCTGACACACATTACATGTATGGTGAGCCGCAGGTACCGATTCTGCGTTACGAACGGACGCACGTCGCATTGTAAGACTGCCAATACAGACTCCGTATTATCTAATGGGTGCTCGTAGCGTTACGTTTGTACTCTAAAACATGATCAGCAGTCTACGTCAGGCAAATTGACTCTGGAACCGCATCACTACCGCATCATACTCGTATTCCAAAGCACTCATCTAAGTGTCAAAATCTTGAATAAGCATTGAGGCTTCAAGACACAACTCCTTGCTGACAAAAAATGAGTCAATAGTGCGCCACAACTTTCCGCTTAGGAGAATATAGCATGGGGTTTTCCGGCATGACCAACTCCTTTACACAATGTAGCCCGCACAAGCGATCTTCACCCATTCGCGGACGCTGGTCGTTACTCAGCTGCGGGGCGGTCGGCAACGGGCGCCGGGGGCGGTGTTGTATTATTGAGGAGACCGTGGGAGGCGGCGGAAGCCTAGGCGGGTCTCGCCAGGCCCATACCCGACGCCGCGCTGGCAGCCCTCAGGGAGACAATGCATATCAAGCAGCCCGGAAGGGTCGGACCAGTGTGGGACGGAACTCAGCCGGCGCGGCAGCAGGCAGCGAGTCCATGAATGAATGCTGATCAACATTCATGCTTAACGGGCTCCGTATGCATGCACGAGCCCGTATGAAAATTACTTTGGCGTCCGTTTCTGAGGGCAATCTGTGCTTGTAGATGACGGAAACCGTTCACCATGAACAGTTCTTTCATCAGATATGGATGCACCTATGGCCTTTAAAGTTGTGTGGCTGGTGTTGCCCACTGTGCAGGACGGAGAGACCCCGTCCACCGTCGTAAGAGGAGTCCGCGTACTCCAGGGAACTCTGTTAGTGCGGTAGGTGTGTGGATTGCAAACTATGCACTGCTAATTCCACCGATCAGTCCTGTTTATCACTGGGCTAGAATGCCCTGTTAACTGGACAGTTTCAGACCGATACACCATATGTTGTATGTTTCCATTTGAAACATAGCGGTCCTCAGACGCCTGGCTTGGCGCATACCGTGTCGCGTCGAATAAGTATGTTGCAAACTTGTGGAAACTTTCCAAAGATACGCAAACGTGGCCATTGACGCCGCTGAATCGCTTGGACGCTCCAGCTCACATTCGCTTTTCCTTATCCAGTTTGCACGCCTAAATGACGGATGTTTAGCTCATTACAGGTTCGGCCTCATTCGCCCCGCGATATTGATCCATGCCTGCATGCGGCCGTGATCACGGCTCAGTGGTTGGGGTGATCACGTGGGAGTACATTATGGATGTTTAAGCAACAGTGAGGGATGGATGTGCCATTATATGATCCCCATCGATTTACGATTCTATTGTGTTGGCTAATGAAGAGTTGCATTAGGAGCAACTGGTTACCCCGTGTAATGTAGGCACACCTCATTTATAACTGATAGCTGTCTTGGACTAACCAAAGCAGTATTCCTGACAGCAAATTGGGGGCATGACCAGGTCCCCCACCCCCACCCCTTCCCTTCCCTTAGACCCAGATTTTTTGGAGAATTAGATTTCTTAGATTTTTTATATTGCCATGCAATTTTCCAGAACGTTTGAACATTATTACGGCAAAGTCCTTGCAAAGTCCCTTTAGCCAGTTGCGAAGATCCTGGACTGCAGTTCGCGTGGTATGCCGTTCCCAGCCTCACAGACACCTTTTGCGGAAGATGCACCTTGTCACGCAGTAGCGTTACGTGAGTGCCCCTGTTTCGGCCTAGCTGTCTCGTCCAGTTACCATCTGACTGTCTCCTCGGGCGGCAATTGCACAGTTTCCGAAACTCATATCCATACGCCTGCCATGAACTGGTTGATGAACTGGCCTGCGTTCCACCAATCCAGCTGCAGAGACAGCAAAACCTGCAAGATCCTTGGCCTGTAAATGATGGTCTCTTAAAGCCATCATCTTCATCAAACTGGCTTCTCCACCCGATGTGCTAAGGCTCTTCTTGGAAAAATGATACATAAAGCGAACCTGGCACATCTGAAGCCAGTTATTCAGCATATTTATGCCAAGAAGACGCACTACAAGCAATTGCAACCGCGACACCTCCCACCTACCTGCAGATGCGGTCCAGCATATGCGACGGCCAGCAGGCCGGCCAGCAGCAGGTACAGCATGGCGTGCCCCTGTGGTCCTGCAACAGAACGCGCCGCCTGAGTTGCCGGCGGTACCCCGTTGGCCGGCAGCACCGGCCCCGCCCGGCTGTTGCCCCGGCCTGATCCCGGCCCCGGTCCCCACTGCGCCCGCGACCGATCCTGCGGAAGACGCACTCACCTGCTCTCCGCAATGGCCGCCTCTACCCACTGGCGATCAATGGGTCGCGGCGAGTGACGTCACAGTAGTCAGCTGGCGGCGCGGCCGGTGCCGCGCACCCACTGGTTGCGGCCTGGATCGATGTGGGTGGTAAAGGTCACGCGGTCGGGCTGACGACGGGCGCGACAGGGCGGCCGCCCGACGCCGCGTGCTGGCTGCGGGAAGTCGAGCCAGAGGTCGACCGGAAGTGCCCGGAGGCCTCTGGCTTCGACCCGCCGCCTCCGAGGTCGGGGAGGTCAAACGCCGCTATTAGCTTACGCTGCCAGTGCAAAACAGTAGGTTTTATGTTATACATTTAAATCTAGCTGGATGGAACGCCGCCAAAAGCGAGATTAAACCAGTGCAGCAATGTCGAGGGGTGAGTGATACTCATATTGGTCGCGCGATAAGGCCAACGTAACGTCGTCGTCCGAAGGAAGGCGAAAAAGATCATGATCTATCCCAAGGGAGTCGATCTGACCACCGCCACGCCTGCGGTGTTGTACTCTCGGCACATGTCCGTCAGCATCGCCGCGCCATTACCATTGTCAATATAATTCATCACATCATCACCATTAACATCATTATCCCATAAACGCTGCTGAAGACATGTCACTGCCGAACAAAGTAGCAACGGCCGTTTGCAGTTTGTCACTGCACCGCAGTATTCATCAATTCATACGGCTCCTTTCAAAATGCAAAGACGTGACAGAATGCCTGCGGCAGGGGACGTCCAGCCCGTGCAGAGTTACATGAAGCCTACATCTCGTTTTTACGTAGCAGATACCGGTAATAGATTTTGTATCTAATTTTGCTCTTAGAAACGTCGATCACTTCGCAAACAACGCCACGGGATAAGCATTTACACGTCGCGATGTTCTCTGCTTCCATTCGGCCGTCTTGTTCTTGTCACTCGCTTTAATGGTGGGCAATGCACACTTTGGAAACCACGAGCACTACGGCACCACGCTGTGAACTGGCAGGCGTCCAAATAAAGAGCACACACGTGACTTTTGGGGGGAGGACGAGAAGGCCTCTCATTAGTTCCACCGCAAGCAAACGCCGGCACGCTAGTATCCGATGTATTTGTATGAAACGTGCGAGTGGCCACATGAGCCCAGGTAATCTTCGCGTCACACCGAGTCCAAAGGTGGAAGAGTCCTTGGTTTCACAGAAACAGGACTGGCGGTAGCAAGACAGGAATGAGTCGGGTCACAGGCAACAACCGACATAGCGTGTTCCGTCCACCAGTGAGAAACATCCCATGTCGAAAAACACACGCAGGCAAATTCCATCAGAACAGTGTACAAAAACAATCATAGAAAATGTACGAAAACAGAGACGACATCATTGACGGTGTAAATAGATACTGGTTCCCCGTAAAATGACTGCCACTTATGCCAGCAGTTCGGTCTCATTCCTGACAATCATTGGCAAAGCAGTTTTCTCACGTTGGGCGCCTTGCAAGTCGTCTAAACAGCACTTGGCCAGACAGCCAGGCAACAAGCGTGCTTCAGGAACTGCGCACAGAAAACTATCACAGGCAAAATAAATTACAGAACGCTAGGCTTCAGAGACTGCCGACTCGTTACACGGGCCTGCGAAGCCAAGGAGACAACGAAACACTCAAAAGCGCCATCGGCTGAAAATAATTCTTCCAAGTAAATATTTACACATATGGATTGTTGCATGCGTGTGGTACCTGCGTTTCACGTAAATTGTATAACGATTGTTTGTTCTAAAACAGCTGACGCGTTCCACACCAGTCACCGTTGCTCGTTCGTAATCTAACCGCGCACAGTTTTCGTCAGCAAATTCATCGCATCGACGGCCACGTCATCGAGTTCCAAGCGCATTCAAACGCACCATTTTCTCCTCTACCGACTCAGCCTCCCCAGCATCATCAAAAACTTAGGCATGCCTATAGCTGGGGGGATCTAGGAGCGTAAAGTACCGTGCAGTTTAAGTTACGGCTCATTGCGTGCGAGGTCCTTAAAGTGTGAGACACTCAACACCGTACGACACTGCACAAGTGCGTCTCTCGCAATTTGAAAACTTCGCGGGAATTACGCGCAGCAACGCAATACCCGACATCCGCGTGCTTCGATCCCCCCAGTTTTGGCTGCTAGGTCTGGCACAGAGCCAATCGCTCCACGAACCACATGAACCACAAATATTGCCATCCGACGACAACATCCCACACTAACCCTGATCACCACACACCTCTGATATCTACCGGGCGCCATGATATGAGCCTCCAACGCAGCGAGCCGTCGGCCGCACTAGTGACATCTAGTGACGACCCACCGACACAGATGTCATGATGCGTCGGACAATCTCCACAATGGCGAACCTGTCCGCTCAGCGCTGAATCCGAGGCACAGCCAGCCGTGTGGCCTCCGCGATCCACGATTTCCCTGTCACATGTGCTCTGGCGATCCCTTGTGCCGTTGATTCACCAGTGACATCTAGCGGCCTGCCACCAGAAATAGCGCCGGGCGGGCTATCACATGCTCTGAAAGCGCTGCTGGGCCGTGGCCGAGCCGCGACCGCACCCCGTGGCTGGGCTACGACTCATCTTAACTGAGCTGTGACTGAGCTACACGACTGCGCCGGGAGGTGATGACTTGACCGCGGTGTCGTGACTGCGCCAAGACGAGGAGGTGACTCAGCGGCGACTACGGCGTGGTCGAGTCAACACTCACTGAGCCGCCAGCCATCCATGAGTCCGACCGAGCCGCCACTGAGTCACGCCACAGCGACAACCGAGTCCCTACTACGCCGCCCACCGGGGTCCGTAACTGGTCCGTGACTGGTCCGTGACTGGTCCGTGACTGGTCCGTGACCCTCCGCCAGCGGAGCGTGACCGGCCGGTCAGATCTGGTTGACTGTGAAGCGCCAGAGTTGCGTGTGGGCGGAGCTGTCGCATTGCTGCGCCGCCACGCCGCGCGAGGCGGGCAGGCCCGAGTCGGCGCACAGGCCGTACAGCACGTGTCGTATGGAGCCGTCCAGTCGCTCCCACCTCTGAAACACACCGGCGGCGAGGGCGGATCAGCACACGGCCGGCGTGACCGGCGCCGGCAGTCACTGTGACGCGCGCCTGTCAGTGACGCTCGCCTGTCGTCAGTCACAGTCAACTCCCTCATCAGCCAATGCCAGTAGGGCGTTCCCGACGGCATCGGCCGACCCTCAGGACAAACACCCCAGTCAATGCTCATCTGGTGAGGACGGTCTTACGCTGAGAACGGACTCCTTGCCACCACACCACTTGCCCACAAAGCCCGCGGTCAGCTGAGAGCAGGGGCAATATGTAGCGCCCGGCATTCCACGACCTGAGCGATGTGGCCGACATCGCTCCTGCAGTACGGACGACTGCAGCACACCACCCCGACGAAGTGCGACACCAGCCCACCGGCACGGCCCGACCGTGCTCAGTATACTGCGGGGCCTTATATATGTGTGGGGGTGGGGGGGGGGGGGATCCCTTCAGAACCGGATGCTCTCCACCGCGGCCTGTGTCGAACATAACAAAGAGTTCAGGCGGCGTGATTAATCGCTGCCTCACAAGCGATGCCGCGTAAGTAGTCTGCCACGCCGTGAATGAACGCTTCGGCGTAACCAGGCCGGACAACCAATCAGAAACGCCAATCAAAGCCTTCCAGGATACGCCGTATCTCAGGCCTTCTCACATATTTGTCAATGGAACCGCGTGAACGCAGCGCTGGTGTCACGCGGTGCCTGAGCAGACGACACGTGCCATGCGTACTGATGGTACGCAGGACGCGGTGCCTGAGCAGGCGACACGTGCCATGCGTACTGATGGTACGCAGGACGCGGTGCCTGAGCAGGCGACACGTGCCATGCGCACTGATGGTACGCAGGACGCGGTGCCTGAGGAGGCGACACGTGCCATGCGCACTGATGGTACGCAGGACGCGGTGCCTGAGCAGGCGACACGTGCCATGCGCGCTGATGGTACGCAGGACGCGGTGCCCGAGCAGGCGACACGTGCCATGCGCGCTGATAGTACGCAGGACACGATGCCTGGGTAGACGACACGTGCCATGCGCGCTGATGGTACGCAGGATTTCTGTTGACCTCGCAACTTTTGCAACCTTCTTCCAAAAAATCGTCAGAGCACACGACTTCTACAACATCCTCCACACACACAATATATATAGCCAGTTCTTGTTTACAAAGCGCCACGGTAAACCTTTCGGGGAAATCCCACCGGTTGAGACCTCTGGAACCTTCACAAACTCCTCTCGGACACCGCGGCGCCCCGTCAGCCACTCAAACTCCTCTCGGACACTGCGGCGCCCCGCCAGTCACGCAAACTCCTCTTGGACACTTTGGCGCCCCGCCAACCACGCAGCAGCAGCAGCGGCAGTGGACACAGACCTGGTTATGGTGGCCTTTGCAGCGCTGCAGCAGCACGGGCGTGCCCGGCGTGCCCTCCAGCAAGGTCATGCAGAGGTCACGGTGTCGGATCGTCTGCTCTTTCGTGTACGACCAGTCCTGCAACATAGACAGACACTCAACAGTCAGTCACCGCGCAGAGCGAAGGGCGTGAGGCCCGTACGTGGCGCCTTCGCCTACCCCCAGCTGCCGTGTCACGATGTTGACCGCCAGCCCGGACAGCTGGTCAGCCTGGCCAGGTATGCGTGGGCGGGCCGTTTGACGCCTGGTCGGGTTTTCGACAGGTGGCGTTATCCATTCAGCCTCGAAAAAAGCGACAGGAAGCTCAACGATTTGAACCGACAGGCCCCCTTGCCATTATTAAGGGTGCGAAGTTAATTAATTCTTCTTAAACAGCTTGCGTGGGCCAAATTTGTGTTCAAAAACGAGAGATCTGGCCCCAAAAGGATTAAGCATGCCTCTAGTGGCGGGGGCCTGAAGCCCGCTGCGCCTATGAGATTTTGCAGGTGGAACCTAGCGCCACCTATGTCCCGCGCAACACTACCGCCACCTTCCGTCCGTCAGCACCGATCGCGAAGAGGGTGCCTTCCTGCGCCCTGCCGTATGGCTGGATTGAAGAGGTTGGCGGCAGATGGCAGCACTTACACGGCAAGCAAAAAGGGTGGAAGTTCGACAGCTTACAGTAAGCCGCAGGGACAACATGGTCACGTCACAAAAACACCAATATAGTGTGCCCCGGAAGGTCAACGACCCGGCGCGCGTCACGCCAGTCGCCTTATAGCTTTCACCCGCCGAGCTTTGAGACAAAGCTCTGTGGTCTGCGCTCCTCGCCAGTAAGCCTGGTGGCATGGCCGGTTGGCGTCCGATCAACACCGCGCTCGCCTCTCGCGTGACCGGCGGCGGGCACCGCACCGCCATCACCACAGAGCGGCCGCGAGGTCATCACCAGCGGCCGGACGGCCACCGCCGGTCACGGCACAGCGGCGCCCCGGCACGCGAGCGGCCGACACGGACACGGGGCGGGCGTGCCGCGCCACCTGCCGCAGTGGGCGCCGCTCCCCCGACTCGGCGGTCGCGGAGTGCTGTGACCTGGCACAGGACGGCGCCGCGTACCCGGCTACCCACGTGAGGTCCCGCTCCCGACGTACCTGGTTACCGCCGCCGTTGTGGCACGAGTAGAGGCCAACTGTGCCGTTGATGATGTGTCCCAGTGTGTCGATACACATGTGGCCCTGCAACAGCGCCGAAGAGATGTCACCAGCACCCCCAATTGACAACTCGGTGGTATGAACGGTGTGCGCCGGAGCAGAAGGCATCCGTCTCGCAGGGTGGGACACAGATCATTCAAGGATGCAACGCCTCCAAAACACCCATGCGGAACCTGCATACGCGTGCAGACACGCTGACTGCAAGCGATGCACATCCTAAATAATTCTTAACCTACTTTAAACATTTAACCAATGCACGTTTACGTCTTTCACAGGCTGATCCAGAAATATTCAATGACTGTTAAGCTCTGGTCGGGACAGCAAACCCACCACTCCCAATTGCGCAGCTTGTATAAAATGATTGAGCGCAGACGGGGGAGGGTGGTAGAGGCGTTCGCCAGGCAAGGCGAACATCTGCTAGCAGTCTCGGCGAACACGTGGCGAGCGCGGGCCCGACAGATGGCCGGAGGTGCTGACAGCGGGGCTGACGCCGCGCGGCCGCACCTGCTGAATGGAGCCGAACGCCATATCGCCCACGTCTGGGACCTTGAGCTCGGGGTAGACGTTCTCCAGGTACCACTGGAACGGGTGGCACTGGAGCCGCCGCTTCAGGTCGTCCCGCTCTCGGATACTGGAACAGGGCGGAGGTGCGGTAAGACGGGCTCACCCCGGCTGCCGGATCATGTCGCGTACGAGGCGGTAGCGTAATGGGTAAAATGTATGCTCCGACGGGGCACCGTATGTACGTCACCCCGCCCCACATCACGCCGCGGAGCGTTTGCCGACGGCTGTAGCTCCGCCCATGCCGCTGCGCATGCGCAGTTACCGCTCACCTGCCGAACGGCACGTTGCGGGAGAGGGGCACCGCAGCGTAGTAATACTTCTTGTAGTCGTCCATCCACACTTCGGCGGCGCGCCGCGTGTTCTTGGCAAACACCTGCCGGGACAGGGGTCACGAGGTGAAGCACAGATCATCGATGGTCACCACAACAGGCCACCATCGTCACCACCAGATATCACCTCAGTCACAACAGGTCACCATTGTCAATATAAGCTTGCCACGGGTACCACAAGATGTCACTGCAGTCATTATAGGATGTTTGTCCTCCCACAGTCGGCTCATGATACCGTCAGTTACCACAGATGCGGAGCACGCTGGAACAGGCTGAACAGAAGGAGTGAGGCTGGTCATGGTAAGAGCTTCCAAGGCATGGGCTGCTACCCCCCGCATGCGGACGGAAACGCATGAACCAGCACCATAGCATGTAACACAGAACGAACTGCCGCACTGTTCTGTCATGGCATCTATCGGCACATAAACATTTAAGCAAATCCCCACCACGGCGCGGAGATTTCCCGGATCCCAGCGAACCGGAAAACGGCAAAAATCATTTGTCATCAATATTATCTTTTCGCTTAACAATAATGGATGTACCCGTACGTCATTGATCCGGGATAATAGACCGCCGCAAAAAGTCACGGCCGTCCACCTCTGTTCCATAATGATGGCACAGCTAACAAGGACAATGCGCGGTCGCCATCCGGTTCTCAACTGGAGGTATCCGCCACAAACGGACAAGAGCTCACAGAGCAGCAGCGGGTGGTCCGAACGCCCGGCTCACAGAGCGGGCGTCGCCGACCGGCTGCTGTGGACGTCAGCACGGCACCAGCGGAGCCAGCCGCTCGCCCCAGCGTCTGTCACAATATCGTGTCCCCTCGCGCTCACGCCAGCCGCTCGCCCCAGCGTCTGTCACAATATCGCGCCACCGGCGCTGAAGCCAGCCGCTCGCCCCAGCGTCCGTCACAATATCGCGCCACCGGCGCTGAAGCCAGCCGCTCGCCCCAGCGTCTGTCACAATATCGCGCCACCGGCGCTCAAGCCAGCCGCTCGCCCCAGCGTCTGTCACAACATCGCGTCCGCCGCGCCCAAGCTGCCTCTAATCCCGTGCCAGCGCCGACGCACGCGCACACAGCGGCGCCCAAGCTCGCCACCGCGCCGTCTTTGCAGTGTTTTTGGGCGGCGTCCGCGCGCTAGTGGGCGTCCACACAAAGTTGCCGTAGCTCGGCGGGCGGCGGCCGCGCGCGAGTCTGTCGGGTCTGCGCGCCCGCACGCCAACACGGTCTGGCTGCAGCTTCGCGTCCGCCACTGACACGCGGCGATACGGAGAGGAGCCGCTGGCTGCGACCGTGATAGTGGAGGCAGTGCCGCTCCACGGCTGATTCACGGTCAATCAATACACCGCATACGGGCTCCAGGCGATGTCTGTGACGAGAACGCAGGCGCAGGCTAAGTAAAGAGATATTCAATACGCCGATCAATCACAAGGAGGACGTAGGAGTGCCTTTCCCCAGTGACGTCTGGGAGACCTCACAGAAGACCGCAGCTGTCAGAGCGGCATCGGTGCCGACTGGCGGCGATGTCTGCCACTCACCTGGCCGCTGCCGCCGGGGAAGGTGTACGGGTGCTGCTTCCTGAAGACGTGGCCCACCCGGCTGCACGGGATGATCTCCAGAGAGCCGCCGCACTGCCACACTCGGAACGAAAACTCTGCCGGCGGCCGGGTCAGGTCAGGTCAGCGGTGCCGGGTCAGGTCAGGCTCCAGGGTAACAGTTACACTTGGAACGAAACCTTCGCCGACGCACGGGAGGGGCAAGGGGTCGCCGCCGCCTCCCCCCCCCCCCCCCCCCCACACGTTCCGTCGTCAGTGGTCACCAGCACGTTCGGTCGACCACCACTTACGCTGCCTGCCTGTCTGTGCGGTAACCTAAATGTCCTGACCCAGTTCCCAGGGCCCGACTGACCCAGGCGACAGTACTGAGGTGTGAAGACAAACAAACCTCGGAACCCCAGGTGCCGGTGGGGCTTGGGAAGCGCGGAGGACGGCAGCAGGACGGCGGCGGGTCAGACAGGGTCCCTGGCTAACGAGCACCATACACGCACGCTTCACTCCACGACTGGCGGGCAGTCGGTAGGCAGTATGACACGGATTGGACGCTAGAACACCGCACGCAGCCGGAAACCATGGCACATCCCACTGAACAGGGCATCGATGCGGCACACGCCTAACACGGGCCAATAGAACGTCCCCACTGAAGGGGGACTGGTGCGCGCCGGATCACACCACCTCGTCTTCATCGGCACACCCCGGCATCGGCACATCCATAGTACGCTGGCATATCCTACTGGCCAGACGAGAGCACAACAGCATCATCACAAAATGCGCCACCGAGGCATCGCCACCGACCAGACCACCGGTGCAGCCCTCGGCACCAACTCACTGGCGTACTCAGCGGCCGCCACACCCGAAAGTCACACCACAGCCCTTTCCACCCCACCGTGGCGGCCCCTGCCGCACCCCGCCCCCGCTGCTGCCGCCGGCGAGCGGGGCGCGGCGGCCGACCACTGGAGCGTTCACGTCACGCCGGCCGGTGGTCGGTGACGGCCGATCGTGCGGGCTCGGTAACGAACTCCCGGCGAGCCAATAACGGGCGACACGGCAGGCCAGCAGAGCAGCCCTCCGACGGCCGCCACCACACGACGCTTCGAGCGCCGGCTTCGAGCGCCGGCCTGAGGAGGGGCCGCCAGAGGGGAACGGGCCGAGGGGGGACGTCCCAGGGGGGACGGCCCGAGGCTGGGCCGGTGCTGCGCGGGCCTCACACCGCGGTGAAGTGAAAGAGTGAGCTGCCGTTGGCGAAGAGCTAGCTACCGTATACGGTCGATTCCACGCAACCATCAGTATGTCCGTCAGTAAGGTACACTACACGACAGCACGGGGTAAAGCCCGGTGGAATCAGTGAGTGCTGTGTCCAGCGTGAATCACCGCGTACAAACCGCTCAGCGAAACATCCCACGGACGAGCGAACGAAGCGACGAACGTACAGACGAGCGTACGCCACGGACGAGCGAATGCAGAGTTGAGTCCAGCCATACCTGCTATGTCATAGTTACCATGCTGTATACATGCACACCCACTTGCGAAGGTTCGGCCTGGCGCGACAAAGCCAAACTCGTTGCGTTCAAGGCCGGAACGGAGGTTTATTTAAGTACCCGCTCGTAACGAAGACCGCCCGCACCACCACCTATAACAACGCGCGTTGCACCCGTTCGCAGTGCGTCCGTCCGGGCGGCTTGCATGCGGCGGGGACGTCAGAAGGCGGCTGCCCGGACGGATCGCCGTCAACAATATGTCGCCCAGTTCCGCCCGGCTCGCTCACCCGGCATGCCGCCCGGTCCGTGACGGAACCGATTCCGGCGGCTGCACCGGCCGCTAAACATAGCCAGGCACCGGCCCGCGTCCGTTCCGACCCATTCGCCGAGACATTGACCTCGGTCCAAGCGTCTGAACGCGGGGTCCGGGGGCGCCCGGGGCGAGCGACGGCCGCGAGCGGTCGGCGCCACCGCGCCACACTCACCGAGGTTCTCACTACCTCGCCACACTCACTGAGGTTCTCACCGCCCCGCCACACTCGCCGAGGTTCCCACCGCCCCGCCACGCTCATCGACGTTCTCACCGCCTCGCCACTCATCGATGTTCTCACCGCCCCGCCACTCACCGATGTTCTCATCACCCCGCCACTCACCGAGGTTCTCACCTGCCACCACACTCACCGAGGTTCTTACCGCCCCGCCATACTCACCGAGGTTCTCACCGCCCCACACTTCCATCTTCATGTCGTAGCGGCCCAGCTTCTCGAACCAGGCCTTGTCCATGACGAAGAGGCCGCCGGCGATCATCGGCGTCCTGGCGGCGGTGGACGCGAAGCGTCAGCGCAGGTCCTTTCCACGGGGTGCGCGGACGGCGCCGCCGCCGGAGCAGGCGGCAGCGCGCCGGCCGAGCACGCTCAGTCCGGCAGTGCGCGTCCCAGCGTTCAAACGCAAGACACGCGGCACGGAGCGGTCGTGCGTGGCTGACCGCGAGCCCGGGTGGAAGCCCACCGCACGTGAAGCAGTGGGCCACCGCGAGAACGAAAGGCCTTGCCTTGTGAACTGTGAGCCTCTCCGCACCTACGTGATTTGGCAGGCCCCCCGTGCTTTGCATGCCCGTCAGATGGGGATGCCACGGCTAGAACGGGCCGCAGCCGGACGGGGAGCGTCAGATTATGCAGGTGGCGGGCACACGAAACACATCTATCGGCCACTTTGCATGGAAAGCAGGCTATATCCGAGCCCCGCGCCCATTAAAGAGCTTAAAGTTAGTGGGCGTGGCGCCTATCGGCAGACAGCAGGGCGTTAGGGGCAGTGCCGGCGGCGATGGCACGCCCGCGGGGAAGAGTTAGACGGTCAGAGCGACCGTCAAGCGCCAAGGACCGAGTCATACACATCGCCACCTGTCAAACGGGGTAAATCACATGGGCGGTCGACTGTCATGCTGCGCTTCACGAGACCCACGGACGGCGGTTTTCCTTCGTGCTGCAAGGTGGCGACCGACACCAGTGAATGGTGCAGTTCGTCACACAAAGCTACAAAAACGCCCAATTTTAAGTCGCCGCCTGCAGGCACGCAAAGGTGAGCGGTCACAGGTCACGTGACGCGAGCCAAGCGAGCCGCTGATGAATACCCCGGACTTCGAGTCGTCGGTTTTCGACGAATGAGCCATGTCGGGGTTATGGACGAGAGGTCGCTCATTACCAATGTTACTCATGCTCATGTAGTAAAATCTAAGACCGCCAGCGTTCGCCACTCCGCGTCATGTTCACTCGGCTCGGGCCACGCCCGTCTCCACAACGAACTGGAGCGACCGCACGGCCGCCAGCGGGTTGCCACGCACCTGACCGCCCCAGCCTCGCAGCCTCATTCATTTGCCTGATGACAGTCGGATGACGGCCAGAACACGCGACCAGATCGAGTCGGTCGAGAACACAGCCGGAAAAGAGCGCGACGAAACGCAGCAACGGATGCAAACCCTAGCCAGCCGACGCCGCACCCTCCCCCCAACCACGGAGATGAACCTCGGCCGGGAAAACCCATCCTCAGCGTGAAAAACCGGTCCCTGGCCCCGAACATCCATACATCAGCCGCTGCGCCGCCCGCGGCAGCACACCAGCGCCCGGCGGCTGGCGGCGTACTGACTTGATGGGCAGAGTGGGGTCGGCGCGGTGAAGGTTGCGCTCCGATTCGGTCATGTACTCCCACTTGAAGACCAGGTTCCAGTCGAAGCCGCCGCGCAGGTCGGCCGACGCGCCGATGTACTGGAAGCTGTCCATCGAGATGACGTCGATGATGGGGCAGACCACGCGCGACCGGTCCTGTGGATCAGGTCAGGTCACGTCAGGTCAGGTCACGTAAGGCTACGCCAGGTTGAGCCGTGGCACAGACATAACAGAAGGTACGGTGGTTGTATTTCGATGCATATTTCCTACATGTGTCGGCGCCACGCCAACCATTCAGATTCTGATTCAGAAGCGTTCGCTCCAGATCCACAACCAACCGGGAAAAGTCATCCGCTTTGTACCGAGGCTCACATGGCCATTACAAGTCCCCGAGCGACGTCATACTTGAACACCCCAGGAACGCGAGGCGGAAACAGTCAGGTAACGTGTGGCGAAAATAGCCAAGTAACGTGTAGCGAAAATAGCCAGGTGACGTGTAGCGAAAATAGCCAGGCCACGTAATGTGCGATAATCGCCCTGGACACAAGTCTCAATGCATATTTCAATGTCTGCGTCATCACAAAAGGTCACCACGACATTGACGTCATTGACATACCGAGAGACAATGTCTCGTCGCTGATAGCACAGTGACAACGTCCAAAGTGGCCAGCTACCGTGCAACGAACGGGTCAATTAGCCCCTGGTGCAAACAGCAATCAAACGCCACCTCTTAATTACGAACTCGGACAGACCATAATCCAGCCAAGACGCACGCGTCGACGCCGGAAAGCAATTTCGACAGGACGATGAGCCGGTAAATTTTTCAGGAGTAATTACGCCAGGAAAATTACGTCCGTGAGCTGGCAGTCTTCAAAAAAGGCCACGAGCCGCGCCACACGGCACTGGGAATGCCACAGGATGGCCGGATCGTCGGTGGAGCTAAAGGGCCAGGTCCGGAGAAGAGCTAGTACCAGTGGCCACAAGATGATTAACAGACTTTCCAGGGCCCCCAGTTCGCTACAGGTCACAAGTAAGTCCGTTAACTTCCTGTCCGAAGCGAGACTCAGCCGGTCCGTATTCTCCAATACCAGCCGCAGCTCGCCGAGACCCATCAGCGCAGCGCTTCCCACGCGGCCTCTCTCTCTCTCTCTCTCTCTCTCCTCTCTCTCTCTCTCTCTCTCTCTCTCTCCTCTCTCCTCTCTCTCTCTCTCTCCTCTCCCTCTCTCTCTCTCTCTCTCTCTCTCTCCTCTCCTCTCTCCTCTCTCTCTCTTCTCTCTCTCCCTCCTTCTCTCTCTCTCTCCCTCTCTCTCTCTCTCTCTCTCTCTCTCTCTCTCTCTCTCTCTCTCTCTCTCTCTCCTCTCTCTCTCTCTCTCTCCCCCTCTCTCTCTCTCTCTCTCTCTCTCTCTCTCTCTCTCTCTCTCTCTCTCTCTCTCTCTCTCTCTCTCTCTCTCTCTCTCTCTCCCTCCCCCCAGGAGAGGAACAGATCAATGCAGCGCGCCCATGCGGGGCCTCTACAGCGCAAGGCCGTCCGTGCCGGTCTTCGCCAACTGAAAACGACCGACGCCACCCCCCGACGGCGAACGAGTCCACAACGCTGGCCAGCCCGTCAAACGAACGCCAACAACGGTCGGCCTCAGGCACGACATTTCGCGCGGACGCTGCTGATTCGACACTGCGGGCGCCACTCGGGCGTGGCTGGGCGCCTTGTGAACAATTGGCGGCGTTTGGCGCCGGTGTTTGGTGCCGCCTTGTCACCACTTTTTTGCCATTTCCATTCACCGCCGAACTACAGGCGGGCAAGGTACACTCGTGCAAACACGCAGAAAGGCCCAGGGTGGAGCGCTACACATCAGTCAGTGCCCGCCTGAGCACAATCACACCGTTTGGCCCCCGGCTACCGAGCGTCAGCTGGTCAAAGGTAAAGCAACGCTGCTTCGCACCAGCATTACGTTGCACGAATCATTGGCGAACAGCACGCGCGAAGCAAACAACTAGCAATCACTAGATTGCTTATCGATGTGGTGGGTCGGCAGGGTCATTAGCGGCACTCGCCTGACATGCCCTTAAACTCCGACCTGCCGACCGCAAAGTCCGACGCCAAGCGTCCATAGCTATCGCCTGCACGAGCCCACCACTGCACCGGGAAGTGCCGCCGCCACTCACGTCCGCTGGCGCTATCGACACACAACGGCCGCTGGCCCCCGGGCGAAGTGACCCCACTGCGGGCGCTGAACGCGGGCGGGGGGGGCGACAACACTCCAGCCATCCCCAGAGCCGCCGCCCGCAATCGTGGCCCGCTGCAACGACCTCGTTGGAGCCGGTGGTCGATGCTGCGTAGGTGCGTGACGGCTGTTATTGTGCGGCGCCCGCTTCGGCGGCGGCGATGTGAGGCGGCGGGTCGCGGCCCCTTGGTATTGATCAGGGCGCGGGCCGCCCAGCTCCGTCTCGCCCACGCCCCCTCCCCCCTTCCCCCCTCTGAACACGGCTATTTTTGTTTTGTTTGTCGCCCCCTCCCCCGCTGACCACCAGCTGGAAGCATGGCATGGCATGGCATGGCATGGCATGGCATGGCATGGCATGCATCCCTGACCTCAGCTGTGGGTGTGTAACGGAGTCCTACCCCCCGCTCGGGACATGGCGTGGACTCTGCCGAAAGCTCCGACCTGGACTGGGTCGTTAACAGCGCCACTGAAACCGACGTGGACTCCTGACTAAAACGTGGATATCTGATGCAAATAACTAATAACAGATCTGACAATGGCACAGACCCCATCGCGCTATGCTGCGGTGTTATGCTAACACCCCGGGCCATTCTTCCTAGCTGCTGTCTAGCCCTTCGCCCTAGCTGGAGTCCATGTTTGATAAACAGCAAAAGGCTCAAAGCTATGCACAAACGGCACCCACAGGGACAATCTGTCAACATTTCTTTGCACGGAAGCCCAGCCAATGGCTCGGGGCAGCCCGCCACTGGGGTTTCGTCCCCCGCAACGCGAGGGTCCAGTCGAGGCGAACGCCCGAGCCCTACCACCAAGTCGGGCGTCACCACAGGGTCCGTCCGGAAGAGGCGAGACCTCTTCCCCTGCCTTCCCGGGACCGGGGCCACCGAAGACCTCGAGTCAGGAGAGCACAGCGGCCAGCATGTCGCCCCCGGCGCTGATCTGGGTCTGACTGGGACCGAACGGGACGACCCGGGCGTGCGCCCCGTGCGCGAGGCGCCACTGACGCCTCGGGACCTGCGCTGAGTGACGGCGTGAGGCGTACAGGGGTGTCGTAAAGCCGGGACACCGAGGACGGCGTGGGGTATACAGGGGTGTCGTAAAGCCGGGACACCGAGGACGGCGTGAGACGTACAGGGGGTGTCGTAAAGCCGGGACACCGAGGTCGGCGTGAAGTTACAGGGATGTTGTAACACCGGGACACCGAGGACGGCGTGAGGCGTACAGGGGTGTCGTAACACCGGGACACCGAGGACGGCGTGAGGTGTACAGGGGTGTCGTAACGCCGGAACACCGAGGACGGCGAGGTTATGGGGGCGACGTGCAGGGGGAGGGGGAGCTCGGGCCCCCTGGCGCGGCGCGATACCGGCGACAGCGCGGTCCACCTGCGAGAGTGGGGCGTGTAAGTGGGATGAGCATGGAGGAGCCTTCCGTTGCGTCGCATCTGCGCATCCTCCCCAAGTCCCTCAGCAGGGATTCGGCCGAGAGGACCCCAAGCAGAGCGCGCCTGTGCCAGGCCGCCAGCCGAGCGCTCGGCGGCGCGCGGCCGGCCCGGGCTCGCCGCCTCACCTCCGCCACGCGCTCCAGCATTGGCTCCAGCCAGTTCTCGTTGCACTCGCAGTGAGAGTCGAGGAAGGTCAGAATCGGAGCCGTGGCCGCGTCGGCTCCCTTCACGCGGGAGCGCATCAGGCCTGGGGACACAGCGCCGCCGTCACAACACCGAGCGCATGAGGCCTGGGGACACAGCGCCGCCGTCACAACACCGAGCGCATCAGACCTGGGGACACAGCGCCACCGTCACGACACTGAAACGCCAAGCGCGGCGCGGTGGCGTCCGTGACGGCAGGTCCGTTCGCACGCGACCTCGTGACACCTGAGGCACGGCACACAGTTGAGGCGAGGGACTATTCAGAAGCCACACACGCGGTTCCAGTTGAGCACCACGGCCTGTTCCCTCGGCGGCACCGTGCTCACATCAGCGCAACACTCCAGAGACGGTACTTCACCCGGCGACACGCGGCTGGATCGTCCGACGCCAACAGAGTCGCCAAACCTTGGCCCAACCGCCTGACAGAGCTACACACACGCCACTGGCCGTGTAAATCACAGCCACTGTGGTTCCACATAACTCTGGCACTCGGCCTGGCTTCAGGCCCTGACTTCTGCCGAAAGTGGTGTCAGAAGTGAAGCGGGCGCGAGCGGGCGCAAAGGTCACAGTTCAGCGGGCCCGTCCACCTGGTAACGATCGCTACAACGGGCAGTCGAAGTGCGCGCAGTTGCGTCATCGATCTCGGCGACGACCAGAGCCGCACAAAGGACGCGGTTTGAAAGGCGACCCGGGCTCCCGAGAGCCTCGCCTTTGGCCAAGCACCAGCGCAGCGGAAGGAAACCGACGACGCTTCTTGGAAATGCGGTCTCACGTAAATGGCGCTGCTACTACCAGCTGCTGGCGCGTCAAAGCTTTGGCTTCGGAAAAGGTCTCCGGACAAAGTCGGACGCGCGCCAACGCTGGAACACCGCACATAACGCAGCGGCTGGTCTACCACGCCGGTCTACGTCTCCAACTTTTGTAACAAACCCATCACAAGCTCGACCGCTCGCGCAGCGCACGGTCGCCGCCGATCCGGATGCATCAACAGCGCTAACCGAGCGACCGCGGGGATTGACGCGGCAGCGACGCCGCAGCAGCCACGCAGATGTGCCGCCGCCGGCAGCCAGTGCACGCGCGAAGCTCAGATGACCCGCAAGATGAGAGCGCTGCCTGAGCCAGCAGGGCCGAGGCTAGCGGGTCCGAGCGCTGCCTCTGAGCAGACAGGGCTCGCGGCTAGCGGGCCCGGGCGCGCCTCTGAGCCAGACGGCAGGGGGTAGCGGGTCCGAGCGCTCTCTGAGCCAGACAGGGCCCGAGGCTAGCGGGCCGAGCGCTGCTGGGCCAGACAGGGCTCGAGGCTAGCGGGTCCGAGCGTGCCTCTGAGCCAGACAGGGCTCGAGGCTAGGGCCCGGCGCTGCCTCTGAGCCAGACAGGGCCCGAGGCTAGCGGGTCCGAGCGCTGCCTCTGAGCCAGACAGGGCCCGAGGCTAGCGGGTCCGAGCGCTGCCTCTGAGCCAGACAGGGCTCGAGGCTAGCGGGTCCGAGCGCTGCCTCTGAGCCAGACAGGGCTCGAGGCTAGCGGGCCCGAGCGCCGTCTCTGAGCCAGACAGGGCTCGAGGCTAGCGGGCCCGGGCGCTGCCTCTGAGCCAGACAGGGCCCAAGGCTAGCAGGTCTGCTGCCCAGCTGCGCGGCAGGCGCCGACACGAATGTAATGGGATGTATGAAAGGACGTGACGTAATAGCGTAATAGCTTAACACAAGCGATGCCAATTTGCAGCTAACGTGGACCCAGATAGCGGGCTGCGGTGGCGTGATTGGACTGGTCAATTTGTCACACCGTATAAGCGGAACACACGCCGCCAAAAGGACTTCCAAGCGACAGGCAAACAGATATTCCGACAGACAACTGTTCAGTACAACTGATCGTGGATTGGCAGATGTCATCACCCGATATCGATACTCGCACGACACCAGAACTCAATCTGAAAAGTGACACCCCCACTGTAACACATCGCTATCAGTGGCCTAATCGATGGCCCATTGACACGTGCACCCGCTCCAATCCTGGTGTCGTCAGCGCTGGCGGCGGGCGGGGCCGGTGACGCCATCATTGGCGGACACGAGACACCGGGGCACGCCATCTGGACACATGACCCGCCGGTGACCCCCGGGGCTCGCAGCCGCGCCGCCGGCAGCGAACCCACAGACGCTGTTTGTGCAGAGCGCCTCACAAATAAACAAACGGGGCGTGAGCGGCACAGAAGCCCGGTGCGCCCGCTTCTGGCGCTGACAGGCGCCGGCGGCCCGGCCGCTGGGCCGCCGGCGCCCCTGTCAGCGTCTCTGTCCGGCGGCCTGGCCGCCGCGCCGCCCGCCATCAGTGCAGCGCCCCCTGGGGCCCGGCATGGGAAGTTCAGCGCCCTCGAGGGCGCTCCAGCCCACCAGCTAGACACGTCGCGAACGGCGTGACGGGCTGTGTTCCGAACCAAAAGAACCTCCATCAGATGTTAACATTCGGCTCAATGACGGCCTTGCTCGCTAAAAATGTCCGTCTGTGCTAATTTGAGGTAGACGGCCAGCTTTTTGGCACCTAAAAGGTCACGTCTGCTGCAGCGTTGGCGCCCCGTATGCGGATCTTCCGAGGTCTAGCAGTGGGACAGGAAACTGCCATTCAACTAAGCCAATCTCTAATGCCTCTACTCAGGGTCAATCTGTCCTCGGGGACTGATACAGACAACTGATGGCACAAGCACATTCCAGCCACGTGCCGTCGGTGGGTCAGTGATCCTTATCAGTTTGCGAACGGGACCTATGTCTCGCCAGCCGCGCCGCGCGGCACACACGGACCATGACGTAACAGAGGGCCAGCCAATCCCGTCACCCCCAAACGACCCCGCGCACAGAGCAGGCCCGGTCCCTTTCACCTCCGTAAACCGACGAGACACGCATTTTAAAAGGCGGTAAGAGCGTCAGACCCGCCGTCGCCCATTGGCGCCCCGCTCGCGACGAAAGGCCGGACAAGGCTTTCAAGCCCTACAAAACACAGCTGTCGGCGTCAGCCAGGTGACGTCATGCTGGCTGGTGGGCTGGCTGTCGTGGGTAAGGGCAGGGCAGTAATTCAGCGGTGCGATTTATGGAGTTCCTCGAGGCAATGCCTGAGTACCGCCACGCCCCTTGTCCAGACACGTGACAGGTAAACGCATGGGCGGCGACTGTACCCCACGCCTCCGCCCGAAATACCCAGCGTAGTTCTGCTATAGCTCCACACGAGCCGTCCATCATCGCGCCGTAGCTATTTGTGTAGAATAGATGCATGGGAACCGCCTACGTCACTGAGGAACACTGTAACATACGGCGCAATAGACACGGTCGAACCAAACTTGAGTGCCATCCTGGCGAGCGCCCCGCCCTGGCCTTACCTTCACGTTTGTCGTTGCGTAGCACTTTGACTTTGTCTATTTTCTCCAGTTCTATGCCGTCCTCAGCTGAAAGAAAACAACAGCGCAGGTCAGTTGGAGTGCTGACGGCTCCCACAACCACCGTCCACGGTCAGGCAAACAGGGCCCCATGCGACATGGCAGTTATGAGCCAAACACAATGTTCGCGCGCGACGGCGGACGGCTGGAGTGCATATGACTCACACACTCTCCCCAGCGAACAAAACGTGCTGGGACAGATACCCCACACATTCGATACCGGTCTGGGAAACCAGAGGTACGTGGTTCGATTGCCCGCGGCGCCCGCCCTTCCCGCCAGGATGAGAGGCAGACGACGCCATATGGCCTCAGATGATAATGCGTCGTAAATTCCCAATGACATACACGTAAACCTACGACGCTGGCTCGGAACGCCCCCGTGGATCCGCCCCTCGCTCGGATCAGCACATCCACATCTCGCTCGGATCAGCACATCCACATATCGCTCGGATCAGCACATCCACATATCGCTCGGATCAGCACATCCACATCTCGCTCGGATCAGCACATCCACATTCCGCTCGGATCAGCATCAGGGCGTCCCGTAAATTCGCGCTCAGATCAGCATTCCCACACGGCCTTCGCTCGGGCAGCGGCTCCCAATAATCCCGCCGCGCCCTCCGAACATGCATTGTAACTAAGAACATGTCACGCGCCCCCCCCCCCCCCCCGGGCAGGCAGGGCGGCGGACTGCACTTATTAGAGCACTGCTGATATGCCAGGCGTTCACGGCTTCGCCATACGGAATGCATGAAAGCTGCGATGACAAAAGAGACCAGCTGATTAAGAATGGTTGGAAATCCTCAGTCTACTCCAATCAACGATGTTGTACAAGGAGCGCGTCACGCGGAGCATGAATAATGGGCCGCCATCCGGGCATCGCGTGCCGGCGGACAATGCACGGCCGGAGCAGTCGGCTGTCCGCCCGATATACACTGACGGTGACCTGCCTCTCCGAGCGGCGCAGTCGAGTGGAGTCCGCCGGCCGCGGCGGCCGGACGCGGCCGCGTTCGCCTCTGAGCGGCCTGTCGCGACTGGCGTCCGCCTCTGAGCGGCCGGATGCGGCCGCGTTCGCCTCTGAGCGGCCGGACGCGGCCGGTGTCCGCCTCTGCGCGGCCGGACGTGACCGGTGTTCGCCTCTGAGAGGCCGGACGCGGCCGGTGTCCGCCTCTGAGCGGCCGGACGCGGCAGGCGTCCGCCTCTGGGCGGCCGGACGCGGCAGGCGTCCGCCTCTGAGCGGCCGGACGCGGCCGGCGTCCGCCTCTGAGCGGCCGGACGCGGCCGGCGTCAGCCGCGGCACGGCCGCTCGCCGGGCAAGCCCCGGCGGTGCGCGGCGGTGCGTGCCGTCCAGCGTCGCTGGCACAGTACGGGTGCGGGGCTGACGCTCAGACAGCGATCGGTCCCCGCTGGCGCCGGCTGTGGCGTGCGGCGCTGTCCGCGACGCGCGCGTCTGGCGATGCCAGCCGCTCTTCGCTTTCCAACGATCACCGAGGACGCCGACGGGATGGACTGGGGATACGGGAAGAGGGTCGGCACCTCAGGGGCCCGCATCCGCCTGACACGACGCTCTTGGAAGATCACGAATCGATCCAAATCGAGGCCGTTTCCCGGTGCCGACGCATCGGCCTGCAGGATCCGCCCAGCGCTATCGCCGACGGCCCGCGGCGAGCCTCGCCGAACTGACACCTGCCGGAGGCTGACAACCACGCCCGCCACCACACAGCAAGTGCATGGTCCAGTGGTGCCGGCGGCCAGGCAGTCTCGCTCTCGCCACCGGCGGCCCCGCACGCTCCCTCCGTCCGTCCGTCTGATGAGGCACGCTCCCTCCGCGCGTCCGTCCGATACGGCTCAGTTCCGGGCCGCTCGGCCGTCGCTCGCGCAGACGGCCCCCGTCAGACTGGCATATTAACACGTCACGGAGCCGGCGGACCGCCCGGCCGCCGTCGCCGCTCCGGTACGCGCCGCCCTGGATTGCAATGGCAGCTGAGGACGTCCGTTGTTGGCGGTAAGCGCCATAACCAGGCCAAGCCATAAGGACGGGATTCGCCGAAAGCTCATGACGTCAACAGTGAGGCGCTCCTCGAGGTAGCGAATTGACTTTTGATATGCATGAGCTGGCCAAATGCAGCAGCTGCTGCCACCGAAAACCGTTAACCTGTTTCGGGCAGGTTATGTGAATGGGCTGTCGCCTTAAATATAAAGCACGACTGGACACGCCATGCTGGTGAAGGCTGCACTTAAGTTACGGCGCGGCGCCTGTGTCCACTTGGTTGTCTGAAGTAGCTTGCCCTGGGCGTAACGTAACGTGGGTTTCGCGCTGAGCATCCATGACATCATTGCCGACATCCGAGAAAAAACCGGTGTGCCGCATCACAGCACAGCTGCTCGGGCCATTCAAACGCTGGCTTTGAAAACGCTCGTAACAAAACATCAATGGTCTTCAGCACTGGCGGATCGGCTCGTTAACACGGCGGCGGTGAGCTTGTTATGTGACCGAGCGGTCGTCGACTCCCGGGCGCTCATGGGTTCTCGGGTGGTCGTGGGTTCCCGAGCGCCAGTCTGCTCGGCGCCGGTCGCTCCCCCCCCCCCCCCCCCCCCCCAATCTAATGCGAGCTCGCGATGCCAGTGGGCGCCAGTGACACCCTCGGCGCGCGCTGTCCGCCAGCCAGCGGATACAGGAGCGGGCGCGGGTCTTACGTGCGTCGCTGAAGTCGTCCACCAGGATGATCTCCTTGATGAGGTGTTCGGGGCTGCGGTTCAGCACACTGAAAGCCGGCAGACGCAGTCAGCAGTGGCAGGACGCAGCCGTTTGTCGGAGTCGGCCGGACGTCAAAAGCCGGCAGACGCAGTCAGCAGCGGCAGGACGCGGCCGCTTGTCGGAGTCGGCCGGACGTCAGAAGATCGCATTGGACCACACGTTAGACCGTGTAGGACCGTGTAGGATGGAATTGGAGAGGGTGACGAGAGGGGAGGGACGTGGAGGAAGATGGGGCACCACGTTGTGCCCGCCGTTCAGTGGCTGTCCGGAATCACACACCGCAGCCTGGTACGTCAGAGGGTGCCCACACACCGCAGCCTGGTACATCAGAGGGTGCCCACACACCGCAGCCTGGTACGTCAGAGGGTGCCCACACACCGCAGCCTGGTACATCAGAGGGTGCCCACACACCGCAGCCTGGTGCATCAGAGGGTGCCCACACACCGCAGCCAGGTACGTCAGAGGGTGCCCACACACCGCAGCCTGGTACATCAGGGGGTGCCCACACACCGCAGCCTGGTACATCAGAGGGTGCCCACACACCGCAGCCTGGTGCATCAGAGGGTGCCCACACACCGCAGCCTGGTACATCAGAGGGTGCCCACACACCGCAGCCTGGTGCATCAGAGGGTGCCACACACCGCAGCCTGGTGCATCAGAGGGTGCCACACACCGCAGCCTGGTGCATCAGAGGGTGCCCACACACCGCAGCCTGGTACGTCGGAGGGTGCCCACACACCGCAGCTTGGTACCGTCGCGCCGAGCTTTTACCATACCGTGACAAAGTCCGGCACATTCTGACTGCCGTGAAGGCGCCAGGTGCATTCGATTATGGCCGGTTCAATGTGATACGAGGCACAACCCGGGAACCCTTTGCCTGGTCAGACTGCCAAATTCTAGCAACGGTGCCCAAAGCCTTAAAAAACGACCTAATCTTCCCGTGTCGGAAATTAAATCATCATGTTGTAAGCAGAGCGGATCTTTTCCAATGCTTTGTTTGCTCGGTATGACAGCGATCAACGGATACTGAGCACCGTGATGGCTCAAGGTAGGCTGGGTGACCTACAAAAACGGTTACATCCAGGATATCCTTAACTTCTGCCTAATCGGAGCTCATCATAACAATCGCTGTCGCTGATTGGTCACGAAAATCAGAGCTCACAAGGAAACTCAGCATCATAAGAACGGGAAAATATCGCGGACCATTTTTCGATGAGCAAATTGTTCACATCAAGCAATGGGCTGTTCCCCATTTTTTGTTCTTTCTTGTTGGGGGAGGGAGGGGGGGGGGGGGGGTATCCATGTACAGCAGCTCGGCTAGCGCTGCTACGCGACTTGGCTAAACACGTCACGACATAATGCATGGAGACCTTGGCTCGGCCACAACGTGATGGTTTTCCACAGGTCATGATGTGTCGGTCGGAACGACGGCCTGGGACCAAACTGGCCCATGCAGCAATAAACGCAATCAATAATCGGGTTATGGGGAGACAGCACGAAAGCACTAAGCTTCCCTCCCCTTCCCCAACTGACTGCATCCGCAAGGATTGCCCAGTGTTCCAGCCCTGTGTCCTAACGTCATGCTGTTTCCCTATAACCGACGGCCGGCTTGTCTGTCTGCACCGAGAGGTTATCCGCTCTCCTTCACCAGGAGGTCACATCGTCCCCATTTATTCAATCTCCCACGGTTCCCCACCCCACGGTGCCAGGCGATTCCGCTGTACCCAGGAGCAGCCCGTGCTTCGGTTCTGGGAGGTCACACCGTCCCCCTATACCGGGAGGTCACACCGTCCCCAGTTCTGGGAGGCCACATCATTCCCCTGTACTGGAAAGCCGCACCGTCCCCTCCAACCAGGTCAGGCCGCCCCCTTCATCCCGGCTTCGATTCGATGCATTCATCTCTTTTCTACTTCATTCTGCATCCTTACAACGCCCCGCCTGTCCGGGGCGGGCTGCGTGCGCCAGCCACGAGTGGGCCGAGAGGCTTATGGAAGGGGATCCGAGCAGGCAACCCAGGGGCGGCGCGCCCTCCTTTGCCGACGCTGCCCGGTGCGGCCCCGCGGCCCTGACCCTGGCCGAGTGGCGCCGAAAGTGGCGGAGAGAGGGCGGCGCCGGCGGCGGCGGCGCGGCCGTCCTCAGCGGCGCGGTGCGGCCCGGCTGCCGGTGGGGGGCCGGCGCCGTATGTCGGACCCGGCCGTGACGGGCAGGGGAGGGGAGGCCGACGGCACCAGCTGGCTGCCGACACGACAGTGGCGGCCCGTATCGCGCCGATCAGACGGGCAGGCGGCGCTGACAGCACTGCACCGTCCGGACTTGTCGCGTCACGTGACCAGGCTTCTGCTAACGCCACGGCACGGATATCCTGGTGTGAGCAGCGAGCGCGCATGCGCCGGACGCTCTGGCAGCAGCAGAAGCCGGCCCCGCGTCATGCCCTCTGCCGGTGCGGCCGGTCCGCCGCCCTTAGCCCAGGTCCGGTCCTCCGTTGGCGCCCTGTGCCCCCTCCGTCTCCGCTTCCGCCCTTCCTCTGTCCCCCTCCCGTCCCTCCTCCGTCTTCGCTCCCGTCCGTCCTCCGTCCCGCTCCCGTCCGTCCTCCGTCCCGCTCCCGTCCGTCCTCCGTCCGCTCCCGTTCTCCTCTGTCCCCGCTCCCGTCCCTCCTCCGTCCCCGCTCCCGTCCCTCCTCCGTCTCCGCTCCCGTCCCTCCTCCGTCTCCGCCCCCGTCCCTCCTCCGTCCCCGCTCCCGCCCCTCCCCCGTCTCCGCTCCCGTCCCTCCTCCGTCTTCGCTCCCGTCCCTCCTCCGTCCCCGCTCCCGTCCCTCCTCCGTCTCCGCTCCCGTCCCTCCTCCGTCTCCGCTCCCACCGCTCACCTGACGACCGTGCGCAGCAGGGTGGAGCGCGCCTCGTTGTGGTACGTGATGATGACGCTGGTGGCCGGCAGGTCCTGCCGCCACGTGCGGCTCCGACAGCTGCAACAACACAGGAGCCGTGTCATGCTCCGCCCGGTGACCACATCTTCAAATACTGATCTGCTACTGAAAAAAACGGCCTGATGAGCAGCCAGATATGCTTATAAGTTCATCTGGAACTTCGCCCGCTTTCTAAAACCTCTGACCGTTACAGCAAGCAGCAAAGAAAACAAAACAGCCATTGTTTGCAAATGGGCGTTTGACCGTAAACAAGGAACAATGACGTATAAAAAGCAATCCCATAACTGTCCAAAAATGTCCCCGTCAATGCGTACACACCCTCATACCTTCACTAGAACCAGTGTTTCACTGGCTGAATCAGAGCATTAAGCAACGACCTAGCATGCCTACTGGGTCAAGTGAATTGAGCAAGACATTCCCATGGATTCCTCGGCAATCTTAGTTATTTGACCTGGGCTGACTCATTTGCTGCGATCAGATCAGACCCCCGCGGGCAGAAGGCCTTGACCTAAAGCTCTCAATGGCAATAGTTGCGTGTTTTGCACCAATGCCGTGCAATCGATGCCATCGAGCCTACAGGCGAGACTGATTACAGCGGAGCGTGGCCTTCACGATATTATGTGGTCGTTGCTGGCTGCTGGTCAGCCCCCACCCATCTCATAGCGGTGAGGCTGTGCAATCTCGCTAACCAGAGCGGCTCGAGATTATCTTGACCGAGCATCACGCCTCACGCTGGGATCCGGCAGGCAGCGGGAATCAGATACATGGCCCCTCTCGCTCTGGTTCAGCATGGCGACCAAACCAGATCACACCAGACCAGACCAGACCAGACCAGACCAGACCAGACCACGCCAGACCAAATCGAGTCTGACCGGACCAGACCAAGTCAAACCAAACCAAATCAAGTCAAACCAGACCAGGACCACACCAGACCGTGCCACGCCAGGCCAGGCCAGGCAGCCAGACCAGACCAGGACCGGACCAGGACCGGACCGGACCGGACCGGACCGGACCGGACCGGACCGGACCGGACCGGACCGGACCAGACCGAACGATTTTGTGCGGACGGCCAGCGGGGCTCGGTGCTCATGGGCAATGCCGGCAGATGTGGTAGGATTGTATATAGCCCCGTCCGACCGGACTGGATCAGACTTGATCTACAACCGCGAGACAGACAACCAGAGACAGCCTGCCGGGACCACCGCAGTGTGAGTAAGCTCCTCTTCTCCGACACCCGCCTCGTCCCACACCCATCCCCCAACCGCCGTTGAGACGGCGTTGCAACAGCCCGGCCCGCGCCAACCCCATACCTGCCCGCGCCTGGGAACGGCCTCGACCTTGACTGAGGCCGCCGGCGATGTACAGCGGCGAGCGAGCGGAGTCCGGCGCCGTGCCGGGCGCGCCGGACCGGACCGGGCCGGGCCGGGTCGGGCCAGTGGACGGCCGGGAGTGGTCGACCAGGACCCTGTCCACCTTGAGCTGGTGATCCACTTTCGCCGCGGCCGCCGGGCAGAAGGCGTTCGTCGGCCCGACGGCGCCCCGCCGTCACGAGCCGAGCCGCGAGCCGCACCCTCCGCCGCCGCCTCGCCCGGCGACGACGGCAGGCGCGGATGCCCGCATCTCCCGCACGGCGAGACAGCCACCGATCCGGATCCGGATCCGGATCGCCGGTCACTGCACTCGCTGGCCACAGAGACGGGTAATTTCCCGGTCACAGGCCGGCGCGTGTTTCGACGCCGTCTTTCCGGGTAGATGTGGGCCTCTGTGCTGTTAAGCTCCCTCAGCCCAGCCTTTGGACACTGCACGTGATCACGGAGTTAAGCTCTGGCGGCCGCTATCAGGGCCCATCAGTCGCTGCTAAGGTCCTGTCCTGCCACCTTTTTTGGCTGGTGTTTGGACCTCACTTTTGGCGGCCGTCGCTAGTGCCCAGGACGCCTCCTCTGAGGTCCACTGAAAGCGCTCTAGCTGTGCGGTCCGCCACTATGGGACGGGTCTTAGGCTTACTCGTCAGACAGGAGCCTGGTCGCTTTCATCTCTCCGTGTTGCAACTCGACTTAGTCAGGCTTCCGTCCCGCGTCGTCGCGTTATCTGATTAAAGCGCGGATCTATCTCGCCAACCCGCCAGCCATCGGCTCTTTTCATGACTCCGTCCGCTATTCTGTGGCACTCCGAGACCGCGAGTGAGGGAGCGCTCTCGGCCGCCAGCTGCCAGTGGGGTGGGGGAGCCATCCGCGCGGTGGAGCGTTACTTTCACTCTCCACCCACAACAGAGCCAGATCGGCGATCTGCCAAACCACGCGGCTCCTGAAAGCCTGTTCGCGGCAGTGCGTCTTTGCAGAAACGCTGCAGCAGTTTGCCGCAGGCCGGCACGTGTGACCGTCACTGACTCACCAGTGGCCGGCTGTGGCAGCGCACGCACTCACGCTACAACGATACGAATAAAGAACAAAGACTCTTGTTAAATGACAGATTACGTACGGCGCCGTGCGTGCATTAAACATTTAAAACATGTCAAAAACAATTAATGCCGCCGACATTTGGTCCGTTACCGTCAGCGAAAAGTAAAAACAGGCAACAGCACGCACGCCGCCCGTCTTCCGTGCGCCGAAAATATCACGTCCGCTGCGAGCGCAAACAGTGTGCACGCTTCACCGACGGCGCGGGGCAGCGCGCCCGCTCGGAGCGGGCGGACCGCGCCACGCCGCTGACCGGCAATTCTTTCGCCATCAATGCCGGCGGCGTTTTCCCCGCGTGGCGTCGCTAATGTCGCCTCATCCGGCCGCGTCCGTCCCACAGATCGCCGCGGGAGGGAGGGGCCATCCGTCCCCCGGCAGCTGCGGCCCCGGGGCTAGCAGGGCCGCCCTCACGTCCGCCGGGACCGCGGCGGGGGCCGGCCGGCCGCCGCCGCTCCCGGCGACGAGCCCGAGGGGCCGGGGTCGGCGGCAGCGCTGGTCCTCCACTTGGCTCCGGAGCCAACTGCTGTCGGCAGGTGGCTTATCGAGACGTTCCCGTGTCTTTCATCGGTGGGAAAGCGTGTCGGATTTAACTGCTGTCGCTAAATAAATGACGAGCCTTCGGCCATTTCCATGGCCGTTGGTAACAGCTACCCCGGTATTGCCTTAATAGGAGGGGCTGGGTGGGCTACGACACACATTTTTTGGTCGAATACTAAGTTGCAAAGCGGAATGGCGTGACAGCGAAGTTTGCTGGCTTCATGACTTTCCTCATAATTTTAGAGCAATTACAGCGATGGTCCAGACGGGCTCACAGATACATATCGTATGGACGGGCCTGCTCAGGGGATCCGCAAGACACTGCACACTTTACACGCAACAGTGTTACAAAATTATTACGAGCACACACCAATTGCCTGAAAGTGTTTTGCGTCGTCGGTTCCCCATTAGTGGAACGATAACAAGGCTCGCAACTGAAAGCCGACTTTATTGGAGGCGCAGCCTGGGGCGGTGCGACCGATAAAAATGTGATAGCTGTTTGCGGCGGGCGATGAGGATCCGCAGTGAATTTTACAGGGCGTAACTCTTCGACATAAATCGTCGCCTTGCAAAGACATGGGGATCGTAAAGGACTTCGAGAAAAAAAAACAGCGTCTACCTATCATTGGCGTGTAGACCCTAGAACATGGGCTGAGCAGTGCTAGCTGAGCAGTGAGCAGTGCTAGTCTGATGCAATCCAGATAATTACAAAAGCGCGTTATCGGCTCGTAGTGCTTCAGCCGGGTAAATGAGGTGGGGTAAGCCAACGCGGTGGCATTAACAAAGCGCCGGTATGGGTATGATCTAGACGATCGGCCAATACATTCACACGCAAGCATACGGATGAGAAAGAGCGAATGGCGCATATCATTGAAATACCGGTTTCGCGCCAAACCCACGTGCGACATACGAGGTGCTTTGCATGTCACCCAACCCAATCCCGGATACACCACCCGAACGTCATCCACCACAAGGTAGAACTACCAAAGGAGCGGGCCGACGTGTTGAGCCCTGCGTCGACACGTTGAAACGCACCACACGCAGCTTAGTGTAGGGCAGAACGCCGGAGCCAGCGGTGCAATGTCACAGCGCCGTCTCCATGGCAACGGCGGCCTGGGGCCGGTCGGCTTCCCACCTCCCCCAACTGGTATGTCTCGCGCCCACCCGCGACGTGGCGGAGACCGGCCCGCCAGCGTCGGGTCGACGCGCACGCGCCCAGCCGTCCCCGGGCGGCGTCCGTGCGTCTTCGGGTGACCTGCTCCAACGGCAGCCGCGTCGGCCGGGATCACCAGGCCTCGAGTTCGGTTAGGTTCGGAAGCCGCGTCGGCCGGATCACCAGGCCTCGAGTTTGGTTAGGTTCGGAAGCCGCGTCGGCCGGGATCACCAGGCCTCGAGTTCGGTTAGGCTCGGCTAGGTTGCTAGTACGCTTCTGTCTGCCTGCAAGCGGGCGAGGACACCCAGACAGCGTCGCCGCCCGGCCAGCGCCCTATACCAGGCGGACTGACAAACCAGCCCCCCATGACGCACAACAGACCCGTCTACTTGACTCCACACGCACCCCGCCCCCGACGGGGCGAAGACGGCGGTTGGCTGGCGACACGGACGCAGCGCCGGCCGATCGGCTCCAGCCGCCCGCCACCCACGCTCCGCTGGCGAGCTCGGCGGCCATGGCAGCCGTCAGCCCTGCCGCCGCCGCCGCCGCCGCCCGATAAAAACCGGACGCTCTCGGTGGCGCGTTCGTTTTGATCCGTCCCAGACCGACGCGGTGGCTGCCGGCCCGCTCGTGGCCGGCACGCGCTGGCGGGCGGGTGGGGGTGCGGCCGGCAGAATGGTGGCAACGGTGACACGCGACGCCTGGAATGTTGAGTGGTATGCGTACCGAGCACGGATTCTGACGTCTCACTACCACACCGTCTTCAGCCCACCTGCCGACGGGCCCCGGCCCAGGGCCAGACCTGGTATGCCTGCAAGGTCTGGCAAACCACCTGTGGTCCTCAAACCCGCCCTGGCAGGCAGCTGTAACCTCACATCCACACGATCCTCTGA